GGACTGGTTGTTGGGGTACTCCTGGCTTTCTGGCTGAGGATCCGGAAGGGTCTGCTCTTCGTGCATCTTGTTGGTCGGCATCGTGACGAACCGGATGACCGACGTGTTGGTGTATCAACTAGGCTTCTGTTTCCGTGCTACGTCTGCCGCTACGTCAGTCACTGAAGAGAAGCGCTCTGGGTGGGTGCGGGAAAGGGGTGGGAGCGAACTGCACATGACCGCATGACATGCATGATCAAAATCTCACTTCACTGCATGACGTTGGGTTCAGGGAGGAGAGGGGCTGGGGCCATCACTGCACGTCATGGACATATGCTGTCGGTCTTCGGTAGTGATTTTGCTGTGGTACTTCAGGTCATCTATGTACAAACGTCAGCATGTCTGGATCGTGGATTTGGTAAAGAGCGCGAAGTTCACGGAGTTGTTGTAGACGAACCATCTCGGGGTACGCTATCTTTGAGATCATGTGGCGCCTCGTTCGGTATGCGCTGGCTCGGTGGACCATAGGTGTGGATCCCCGTGGCGAAAGGAGCTGGTGTGTCTGGGATGGGAGGATGAGGCGAACCTCTTTGTGGTGTAGGTTGATGGTGCATCCGAGGTAGTTGGCTTCTTCTTGTTCTTCCAACAATATGGGTGGGCCGTAGAACTCCGTCTGAAGAAACTCGTTCCAAGGACTTGTGTGAGCCCAGCTTTGTGGTAGGATACAAATGCGATCGTCAACGTATCTCTTGGTGAAGCGGTCGAGGATTGCGCATGAGGCTAGGGCTGTGCGATACGTCTGGTGCCACTGATGTTCTTCAACGCAACAGACCATGTGGCACAGCACTGGTGACATGGGGTGTCCCATTGGACTACCTCTGGTCTGCTTGTATACTTGCTGTTGGGAAGTGAAGTAGCTGCAATTCAGAACGTACTGCGTGATCTCCCAGATGTCGTGCATGTAGACGGTGTGTCGACCATGGTTGATCTTCTTGTACTTCCCATTGAACGTTCTGGCCGTCCTGAGTGTCTTTTTAGGGTCATAGGTGATGGAGACGTCCTGCCAGGTGTCGAAGCCGTGCTGGGAGTTGGCGAAATACTTGTGCATGGTGATGGTAAGGGCTTGGAGGATGCGTTCTTGCGGGACACTGGTGAAGAAGCCTGCGAGGTCTGCGATCTGCATGTGCATGTCTGCGTTGTTGTAGTTCATGAACGTGTGCAGGTCCTTGAAGATCTTGTAAGAGTTGTCCTGTTGCAGTGCTTGGGGAAAAGAGATGTACATGATGTTGGTGAGGATCTTGGCGACCGTGGAAAAGAGCTTCTTGGCGAAGTGCTGGGCGAACGAGACGATGGGCCGCGACTTGATGAAGCCCTTCTTGCGCTTGGGAAAGATGTAGGACACCGGGACTTTGGTTCTGCGAGCTGGGTTGATGCCCCAGGGGTATCTTGTCTTGATGCTTTGGGGTAGTTGGTGCCACGCATTGTGCGCCGCTGTGGTCGGGGTGATGTTGATCTTGGTGAAGACTTCAGGGTCTCCGTACATCTTGTCCATGAGCTGCTGGAAGTGGAGGGGGCAGTACGCTAGCATCTTGTGGGGGTGGTGGTCCTCGCACGCAATGATGTAGTCGTTGTACTGGGTTTTGAGGCGTTTGACCATGTGGTGGTCCACGTGTTCCTCCTGCACATTGTGGCTGAGCTGTGCCGCCGGGGCAAGGGCGAGCTGTACGGCCTCTCGGGATGGGATGGAGAGTCCATTGCGTTTGCACCATTTGCGAACGTCTTCGGTCGTCTGTGAAATCCAGGTGTCTGGTTCCGGGAAGGTGCCCGTCTTGGACGAGTAGGTGACGATGTGGTGTAGAGGGTCTTCTGGGGATGCGTGTGCGATCTGAAGGTCGATGACTTGGTGTTCGCTGAGTTCCTGTGTAGGGTTGGGGCAAGTGCATCTTCTCGCGAGTTTGGGGCCAAAACACATCCGCTGCCAGTTGTGGCATTGGGCCTCGATGCTGGATCCTGGTTTGGCCACCACCGTGGTCTTCGGGACATGTAGTGGGCATAGTTCGTGGTAGTGGCTCTCGATGATGGCGCGGAGGACGTCTCGAAGATGGTGCTGGCATTCTTCCATAGGCGGCAGCAAACTGGCGACGAGAGGTCGTATGTTGGGGGTCTCCATATGTCTCTTCTCGAGTGCTTTGACCAATGCTGCTTTACAGAACTCCTTGTAGGGGGATTCAAGGATGTTGGTCATTCGTAGTAGCGTGTATATGTTCTCGGCCGGGAAGTTGCCGCTCATCAACGTTCTGGTGGTTTTCCATCGTATAGCCGTGGTAGAGCACAGGGCGGTGAGGAGGCCCCACATGCGTGTTTTGTTGTCTATCTGCACCTTGACGGATCGCCAATGTCTGGTCTTTCTTCCGAGGTGTCGATGTAGTCGAGCGCGTAGCTTGGTAGCTAGCACGTTGACGTCGTTGATGATCTTGGGTTGGAAGGTGTGGCCTGTGTCTTCTTTGAAGTGTTTGTAGATAAAGGGGGCATTGAGGGAGGGCTGGAGGTCCGCGATGTCTGCCTGCTCGATCATATGCAACTCTGCCACGTTGTCGACGCTGCGGACTTTGATCGGAACAAACTCCCAATATGTGTTGGTGGTGTGCCAGTAATGTATGGCTGGTTCGGCGTTGACCAGTTTTTGGGCCGCGAGCGCGTTGTGTTTTCTGCGCCGGTTGTCTTCTCTGACTGTGACTTTCGTGGAGGTGCTGCCAATGTAGAGGTGCTCGAACATGCGTGCGTGATCGACTCTCCAGTACACTGCGTTCGGCTGATTGAAAAATTCGAATGTGTAGAGCTCCGGGGTGATACGGTGAAACTGCTTGAGGCGTAACAATCTGCGTTGATCTACTTGGCGTCGAGGAAAATGGCAAAGAGCGGTGAGCCAAAACTTGCCGTAGAGCCAAGTGGAGTATCTGTGTAGGAAAGGTATACGGTGAAATGTGTATTGGACCACGCTCTTCACGATGTCCATGCGCTTCACCATGGAAGAGTGTATGCGGTTGAGCCGTCCCGATGGCTGATGCGTTGCGAGTAGGGTTCCTAGTCAATGTAGGTATGAAGCGAGGCCTGCTACCACGATGGCGACTGCTGCCGTCCCTGCTGTGTTGGTGAGCTTGGGGAGAGACCAGGCCTTCACCATGTCCTGGTACGCCTGATCTTTTGGATGTGCCTCCACGTACACCGTGAGTCTCTTGGCGATCTCCTTCTGGGCCTGTAGTTTGGGTCCAGACATCTTGAGAGTGGAGATCCAGGTGTTTGCCGAGGGGGCCGCGTATCTTGATAGTGAGCTGGTGAGTTCGTGTACTTGTCGAATCTTGTCCTTTTTGGCCTGCTCACCTGGCTCTTGCTTCGGAGCGATGTCGCTGAGGTACTGGATGAGTTCGTCGTCCTCGAACGCGTTGACGATGTCGAGGAGGACCTTGTTTTGTCTGCCGTCTGGTGATTCGAACGGGCGGCTGGATGCTGATTCACCTGGGGCGGGGGATCTTGGGCTTGGTTGGTAGGAGGGTGTGGTGATACCTCCGATGTAGTTGGGGTCCGTCTCGTCCTCCACGGTAGGCGGGTGGGGGTGCATTGGGGGAGGGGGTTGAGGTGCATGTTCGGCCGATTCGGATGCCGTGGGTTGCGATGCTTGGGAGTCGTCGGCGTCGACTACCTGCACGAGGTTGTGGACATTCGCCGGAGCGCACTGATCTCGGTGTGGATGAAGAGGGTTGCCGGATGATAGTGGAGCCTTGTTGGTGCCGGTCTCGAAGAAGTTGGGCATCTGGGTTTGGGTAGGGGGGATGATGCCCTGCGGGAAGGGTGTCTTGCGGTTCTGACTTGCTAGCTGTGCGCGCAATCCTGCTATCTCCGCTTCTTTCTGTGCGAGTTGGGCACGTACTTGGGGTTGTACAGCAGGAGGGTTGTTGTAGCGCATGAGGAGGTCTCCAATGTTGGTGACGAGCATCTCCATGGCTTCCTTCCGTTGAGCTTCGGTGGGTAGCATTTCCGTGCCGTTTTTCCATTTCCAATAGTTGACTGCGATGGTCTCGATGCGAATGTTGCGGTTGCGGATGAAGGTGGAGAGTTTCATGTGAAACACGGCATCAGGTAGTGACTTGTGGCCTTGGAACTGAGTCCATCTTCCGTTGGCGAGTTGGCGCAGCATATAATTGTGCTTGCCCTCGAAGGCCACCTGCCAAACTTTGATGTCGAACGGACCCATACCTGCTGTGCCGTTTTTCTTGGCCGATGATGTGGTGGGCACGATTCTGGGCATCTGGACTCCTCCATATTGGTTTTTGTCATAGAGCGTCTCGTTGGAGTCCCAATGGTCCGGGAGGTCGTTGTTGGGCTGGTAGAAGATGTCCTGGAGCACTTCCCTGGCGCGCTCTTTGGGGTTAGGGCGGGCTGGGGTAGGGGCCGAAGATTGAGTAGATCGGGTGGGAGAGTTCCTGTACACCGGGAGTCGCTGATCTTGACGGTGGCGATCTCGTCGTGGGTTGTACACCGAATCTTGTCCATGGCGAGGAAGCACATGGGACGCTGTGAATGTGGATCTGGGGGTCAGAGCTGGTCCCGAGCTAGGCCGTGGGTTGGAGTGGAATGTGCGCGTGGATCTCGGTGATGTCGATCTGGTGCGGTGCCTCCTGGATGGTCTTGGCGTGCTAAATCTTCTGGGCGATCTGGATCGTCTGGAACCGTTGCCTCGTCTGTGCGAGTGTGTATGCCATTGAGCATGTCGTTGACCGTGGTGATCACGTCTGTCCGCCATGGCGTGGGGGTTTAGGGTTGCTTATATGTCCAGTTGTTAGTGATCAAGCCTACGAGAGACGCGCAACGGCTGTGTCGAGCACATGAAGCACTACCCTTGCACAAGCGGCGTGTTGTGAAAATTGCATGCAGGACGCGGGGTGCATAGGGCTGCAACTTCTCTCAACGGGTGCATGTGGCTGAGTTCGTTCCATCGTGAAACTGTCGTCGCCGAGGCTTCATCACTTCACATACCTCCATTGGTGGTGTCCCGCTTCTTTGTCGACGGTGGTGCATCGTTGAAGTTCTAGTAGAGCTTGTCGTTGATTGATGAAGTCCGTCCATTCCTCCTGGGTTGGGGTGGCCTGTGCTTGATTCTGCGTGATGTCTGGATCCTCCTGGAACGCCTTGGGCGTTCCTGATGCCACCAACCACGTGGTTTGGTGTACATGTAGAGCTTGGTGACGTTGTACTTGGCCTGATGTCTTTCGGTGGATCCAAAAGACCGAGTGCATCCTGGGGTGTTCCATGACTGCGAGGGGTAGGGACAGCCATCTGAACGGGGAGTTTGATGCCGTAGTGGATTGGAACCAAGCCCAGTCGAACTGTGTCTCGATCATGCTGCTGGCCGGGATTGCCAGCATTGGTGTGTGTCCTCCTGAACTCAGTCGGTGAAATTTGCCGATCAGATCGGGTCGGCTTGTTCGCTTGGCGTCGAAACCGTCGATCGTGTGGCACGGGTCCGTGAAGGTGAAAATGAGTGGGTCCCACAGTCGATGTAGTACATGTGCTGCTTGGGTGGAAACTTGAACTGCGTGAATCTGTTGTGAGGTGAGGGGCAGGGCAAATCTCGGCGTCCATATCATGTTGGGCAATACGTCGCTGTACAGGTGGTTGACGGTGAGTCTGGTGCGGATGTCTGGCGTGGAGGGTGGCGTCCATCTGGTCGTGTGAGTGAGCTTCTGCAGCGTGTCGGTCCATATGTTGGTTGGCCAGAGGTCCGGAATCTGGAACGTGTCGATTCCTTGATCGCATCCTGTGTGGGAATCGATGCTGGGCCAAGTTCTGTGGAGCTGCAGGTCATGGTGAGCCTTGCGAAAGACTATGTTGCTGACCGCCTGCATGGTCATAATGCCCGAGATGGTGTTGTACTTCGCGAGCATTGGCTGGTGGAAGGGTGGCGCCGTACTGTGGAGCACCACGCAAAGGTCTTGTATGGGCGGCAGTAGGGGTACCAATCCTGCCGTGCTGGGTAGGACGTGTGCTGACCAAACTCTGTGGAAGTGGGCGCAGGTCTGTTCCAGCCTGCCCATTGTTCTGGGATCCGCGAAGTTATGTGTGAACATCCACAGCTCCGGGTTTACACTTCGAAACTTGATGTATCCCCAGTGCCAGAGCTGGTAGAGGTTGGGCATTGTGGCCAAATCCGGGCAGGTGCCCTTGCGTACGAGCATCCTGAATTGTATGGCTGTGAACTGTAGGATGCGAACTGCAGCGGTTCCTGATAGGATTTCATGTAGAAGGGAACGTAGTCGCAGGTGTAAGGGCTTGGGTTGGGGCATGTCGATGGAGTCGGCGTAGCGTGCCATCTGGACATGTGTGGATGCGTCGGCTTGTACTGGTCCCAGGACATGAGGACGCTGTTTTGGAGTTCTTGCTGGAGGGAGGGGAACTTGTGCACCAGCTGCTTCGGGAGGAAGGTCATGCGGTTGGGGTAAAATCGTATGACGGGTGTGCCATCTTCTTGGAGTTCCCAATGGTGTGGTTCAACCGGAGGTAGCATGTGAACAAGTTCTGGTCTGATCGGTCGTCTCCACCACTGCTGCTGCGCTTTTTCTATCTGGTCCACTGGTAGAACTGGAAGTAGCCGGCCTTGGTCGTGATGCTGCATGACGGATTGCGTGTCCACTGCTGGCTCCAAGCTGTCGAGCAGCTGTTGCAGGCTGCTGACGTGCATGCCCATCGTGTGGACTCCAGGGTTTCGAAGTGGTGACCTGGATCTGTCTTCTCTGTGATGTTGTTCTTCGGGAGGAGGTACTGTGCGATCCGGAGGTGCGGGGATGTGGGGGAAGGCTCCCGTGTGCCAGGTTTGCAGGTCTCTGACAGGTTGGTCCGTGCCCGCATAGTCCATGGACATGCCGGTCGCGTGGTCCTGCGGTGGTGCTTGTCGATGCGGATACCATCTCTGACATTGGCTGGCATGTTCTTGTGGGGAGGTTGGAGGGGGAAGGGTGTGGGGCATGGTCTCGTGGGCTTCTGAGGATGCAAGAACTCGACCGGGTTTGATTTCCACGTCGTGTAGTCGTCCTGGGCCGATTATCTCAGAGTAGTCGGATTGCACCGTTCGTAGTCTGGATTGGTGCAGTATCTTGGCCTTCATGGTTTGCTGTCGAAACCTTTTGACGGTGTTGCTGAGGCCCTCTTCATTGGTGCCGAGGATCTCCATGTACTTGGATGGGTGAAGGTTGGTCGTCCATGGTCTGGTTGGCATCGACGACTTGTCCGTGATGATGGGGGTGTCACTTTCCTCCACGATGCTCACCAAGAGTGCTTGCCATCTTTGTAGTATTTGGGGTCCTAGTACTTGTACAACCTGATGATCGGCGACTTGCCCGCTGAGCCATCGGTGGAGGGCGTGTTCCATGTCTTCTGCCGGATCCATGGTGAATGCGAACTTCTAATGAGGCGTTATAGTCAAGAGCAAAACTGCATGCGAAACGTAATCCGCACCGGCGACTTCTAAAGGTGGCCAGAACATGTCTCTCAAGGTCAAGGTCCAACGCATCACAGCAGTGCACGAATTCTCACTTCACGCGTGATTACATGTGCTGAAAAGAGAAGGCAGACTCACTCAGCTGCAACACTTCACTACATGCATCCGATTGCGATCCGTGAATGGCGAACACACTGGGCTAGATGCATAAAGCTCGCTGCAGAGATTTCAAACAGTCCGAAACTGCAGAATCGTGTGTGGTGGGGTTAGGGTGCACTCCGTCCGATCTACGACCTGCTCCGCTTGGTGCTTTCCATTTTGACATGCTGTGATTAGCGTGCTGGTGCTGCACGAGCGAGGCTTCGTGAAGGTGAAAAAGAAGAAATCGTCACTTTGGTCTTCACGATGAGGAAGAAGGAGCTGCCAGCGCCGGTAGTTGTTAACATCTTCGTCTGCGGTCATTGTCTCGGGATCTGTTGGGGATTGGAGGTGGTGTGGTGGGTGAGGGTCTGGGGTGGAAGAGGTTGACGGTGATCCCGGTGATCTCGGCGTACTGTGCATCGATGATGCTCTTCTCGGTGTGGGAGAAGACGGTGGTGAAGTTACGACTGCCTCGACTGGTGTCGTTGAGATGTGCCTCGATGAGCGCCTTCTGAGTGGTCCATCCTCCTCCCTTCTGCCGCATGTGGTTGTGCTGTGAGGTGGACGATGTGACGCGTCCAAATATGGTGAAGCCCGTGGATAGTTCTCCTTCGGCAGGACCTGCTCTGGCTTTTGGGAGGCGGAGGGCTTTGCGGAGGTTGGTGTGGCAAAATCCAAGTTGAAGGTTGTCTGGTGAGTTGTCTTGGTGGAATCCGTTGAACCCACGATGGGGTAGGTATGCTTTGTTGTAGGGGAGGTTGTCGTCATCCCAGTTGGTGGGCTCCCAGTTCGTGGGTCTGACGAAGCCCTCGCGCAAAATGTGCCATAGGCCTGCTTCGTCGGTGGCATGTGACCAGTATGCCTTGTAGGCGCCCTTGTGTGTGGGAGGTGATGGACTGTTTGCATCGTGTGCGTGAGGTGGTGGCTTGGTGGTGCGTAGTGGTATGACGAGGACCTGCACCAGTGGGTAATCGGTAGTGTCCTGCTTGTTGCTGTAGGGGTCGACGTTGATGAGCTGAGGGTGGATCACCGTGTCCGTGGTGAGGTGAGTTCTGAACTGGCCGAGGAAGGGTGTGATCCTGTGGTGAGAGCAAGCGAAGGATCTTGCCACTTGGCGGATGGCCATCTGCGCTGGGTTGGAAAGCCATAGTGGTTGTCCGTGGGTGAGGTCGGCGATGTCGCGCATGATGTCGTTCATGTACCGGTTGCCTGTGCTGGAAGGGTCCATGGGCGGTGGTGGGTCCTGTTGGTGGTACATCTCGGACACACACGCGAGCCTGTGGGGGTCTGCCATGGTGTCCTGGTAGAGCTGCTTCATGCGTCGACGTTCTTCGGGCTTGAAACCTGATTCGGTTTCTGGCCTTGTGTTGTGCGACGTAGCCCTGGACGCTTCTGAGGGTGCCTGAGGTGGTCTGGATGAAGAGCCAGGTGTGTCTCTGTGGGTCGCCGTATGTGATTCAGATCGATCGAGCGCAGGGGTAAGAACGACGGTTGTGCTTCTGCGCCTGGTGCTGCTTGGGGAGGGGCTGTGCTGGGATGGTGTTGGTTGGGATCCACGGTGATGACGATTTGGAGAAGAGCGCCTTCTCGATGTTCGGAATCTGGCCTTTTGATCTGCTTCGACTGCATGGCTGGCGGGTTTTGCCCGACTGGTTGGGGTCGTTGGGTGCGGGGTGGTGGGGTGACTGGGAAATGTGTGTGTGTCGCGTGGATCTGGTGCTCCTGGGATGGGCTGGACTGGGCTCATAGGTGGTTCTGCTGCGACTTCTGGTGTGGTGCGTGGTGAAGGACTCTGCTCTGTGTTGGTCACCAGGATGTTGGGATTGCGTCGAGGCGACTCTGGCATGATTCTGAAGTAGTGGTGCCACGACTTTCTCCAGCATGCCTGTGATGCACGTGAACATCTCCGTCATCTGGGATGGTGTCGTCAGTGGTGTGGACTGAGAGGGTGGGTCTGGGGCTTGATGAGGTTGTCGATGTTCTCCGTGATGGACAGGTTGGCCTCATTGATGGTCATCTCGGTGTGTGTCCGATGTCTGGGCGGGTGCGAGTCGTTGATGTGCTGGAAACGGTCTGGACTGTGACGAAGGCTCCTGCCATGCTGCGTCTCGTTGCGTATCTCGGTGAGCATATACCTGGGTGTGGTCTTGCTGAGGTCTGTGTCCTTGGTCTGGATGTGGTGTATCAGCCTGACGATCTTGTTGGCATGGTTGGCCTTGTTCGGCTGGATCTCGAGGTACATAGGTGCCAGGGGTATTGAGTAGGGAGGTGGGGTGAAGTCCGTCTCGTACTGGATGATGGAATTCTGCTTGCGCGAACACGGGAGGGTCTGCTCTTTGTTGAACATTCGTTTCTTGCTGAGGATGGTGCGCTGGCCGAGGTATGGCTTGATTCCATTCTGGACGACTCTGCGGATTGCCTTGTTGTTGATGATGGTGTGCGAGGTCTCGAGGATGGTGGTCTCGTCGTAGATCTTGGCTTTGATGATATTGCTGACCCTGTTGAAGATACGGGAGTGGGTCTGGATTCTGCCAGTGACATGGAGCATGAGGGTAGGCGTGAGGTTGTGGGCGTGGTGGAGCTTGGCGTACTTCCGGGTGATCGCTGCGACCATGTTGTTGAGGACCGGCATGTTGGTGGTGAGGAGGGATGTTCTGGTTGGTCGTTGGGGAATGTTGGCCTGCCGTTTGACTCGAAAGTGAATATCTTGCTGCGTCATCACGACGATGCGTCTGAGGACCGAACTGTGTTTGATCCAAAAGCGCGGCTGGTGCTAGCCGTTGTGGCTGCAAGGATGCTGCATCTTGGTGGGGTGGCCACTGGTATTGGGGGCGTACTCCTCCAGCTGGTGGATGTTGACTCCATCGTACTTGCCATCCTTGATCTTCTCCTGGGTAGTGTGCCGTCGGGTGGGGCGTATCAGGAGGAGGAGGAGGAGGATGTGCTTGATATTCTGGCGGAGGAGGAGGAGGGGGCGGCTGCCGCTGCCAACTTTGTTGGTACCACTGGTAGCCGTCCATGGTGCGAGTCCGATGTAGCTGGGGTACGTGCTACACACTACTCTGACCTATCAAACCATTACGGCAAAGACGTAACAAAAAGAGAAAGTTGCTGATCTCTCCGGATGCTGGATCATGATTAACAATCGAGGAACATACGGCACGCCGGCCGTCTTGCTGAGCATCGTTGGCACCCACATTAATGGGTCCGGCATGTTACTAGTGCATCGAAAACGATAGGACTTTTCATTCTCACTCGCCAGGTGAGCTCACATTTTTGGATTATCCTATGCGTCCGCACCGAAGTGAAGACTAACATAGGCAGCATGAACGCGTAGGAGCGAGGCTCCACCTACACCCGCGGCCCAAGGCGAGGGCGGGCTGGCTGTATAACACACTTTTTGTTTTAGTGCTCCACATATTCATGTAGTTGGAGATCTGCTGGAGAAGGACATGCTCAAGCAAGCTGCCGAGGCGAACGTCCAAGATGATGAAGTAGAAGGGTCACGAATGAAACTTTATATGAAGTATCCTATCATAAACACATACACGTGAACACACATGTTCGAATTCGATGACGATGCTGCATCTGCCCAAACACTCATGCTCGGCACTTCGGTTGCTCACTTCTTGTGAAGTATGCTCCAACGCTCATGCTCATCCCTTCAGTCTGTCACCGCGTGCTACATCTGCTCAGACACTCATGCTCATCACTTCAGTTGCTCACCGTATGCTAATTCTGCTCCAACGTTCATGCTCATCACTTCAATCTGTCACAACGTGCTACATCTGCTCAGACACTCATGCTCATCGCTTCAGTTGCTCACCGTATGCTAATTCTGCTCCAACGCTCATGCTCATCACTTCAGTCGGTCACAGCGTGCTACATCTGCTCAGAGACTCTTGCTCATCACTTCAGTAGCTCACCGTATGCTAATTCTGCTCCACTGCTCATGCTCGTCACTTCAGTCGTTCCTACCATGCTAAGTCTGCTCCAACATTCATGCTCCGAACCTTCTCCATGTTCTCGTCCATGTTCATGCTCGTTCGCTGGACATGTTCCATCACCATGCTAAAATGACATGCTCACGCAATTCTGCACAGCTGCTTTGCTATTCACAACACACAAGCTAACAGCATCACGATCCACTCAAGCTTGATGGGCTCGAGATCTTCTGGGGTTTGGGGTATGTCATGCTCACGGCTCGAAGAATTCACCCACATGCCAAGCAAAAAACGAAATCCACGTTGTAAACTGCGTTGTGGTTGAGGTAGTAGACAAACAACAGCGAGGATGGTACCAATGCACAGCTTGCATTACAGGATGTCTAAGACAATCACGCAGGTACACGTTCTGGCGTCCCAGAACGCTTCACCACCAATTGCAAGTGTCTTCGTTGGCAGGAGACTTGCAATGGTGCTCCTGCCCCCTGCTGAAATTCACATGCAAGCTTCTGGTTGGCCTATAACTCCGTGCTTCTTTTCGATCTCGTATGCAGTGCTTGTGGACGATCCCGCATGTACAGCGGTGTGCCACACACACACAGAGACACACACACACACAGAGACACACACACACACACACACACACACACACACACACACACACACACACACACACACACACACACACACACACACACACACACACACACACACACACACACGCGGGCACTTTCGACTTTTGATTTGGTCACTTATCATCACGTCATTGACAGCCATCATGGGTGTTTCGTATTTGTAATCCGAACAATGCACATCTGGATTTGTGCAATGCGCGGCAGGGCCCGGCAGGGGGTGCTGCATGTTGTCGCCACAACTGTCCATGAACCGTGCATTGTCGCAGGTGCCACAGCGTAAGGGAAGGACACAGCTGCAGCAGCAACACTGGCATGTGCATAGGTGCTTCGGGGTTTCAGGTTCTGACACCTACTTTACATGGAGCCATACGCAACCTCAGCTTTCACACCAATCCTGCGGGAAGTAGATCTTATCTCCCACGAACCAGCCGTGTTTCGGGAGGTCGCCCCACTGCCACGAGTACCTGTCCGGAGGGTGATATTCGCCTTCAAAAACCGAAAGAGTAAAACATGGCAAAAAAGGAGTTGAAGTGTCCCCTTTGAAGGGAGGTTCTCTAAGACACTTGCTACGAGGCAACTTGTGCACCTCTTGGATTGCCTCTCGCCTCCTGCGGCCCAGTTGCCAGAAAGTGAAGACGCATAAGGGGCAAGAGATGGCTGAAGCAACACAACAGAAACAATATGAGAAACATTCTTAGGCCCACAATGTGCACCCAAATATGCTTAACTACAGCCCGTGTACTTTAACAGAGACTCGGCGCCTGTCACTGTTCTCCAGCCACTTGCCGCAAGCGACGTCGTTGACATTTCCGCAATCTGCCCCGGGCGGGTACATGATGATGAGGCCCTGGCTGCCTTGACATGGGCTCAGGGCTTCAATACGCGTACTCCGGATGCTTCAGCAGTCTTCAGCACACTCACTGCAAGGGGCACTCCACGCTAAATCCGGGAACTCCCACAGTGGCAGAGCTTTGAGGTGGTTGTGGCTTGGAGATTCAGAGGGTGCAGGGCTTCAAGCTTCGCACGATGGAATTTGTACAAAGGTTGAAAGTTTCGGAATGTCTGAGGGTCAGACCTGAAAGGCTGACAGGGCTTGAGTGTGAAGGGTTCTGGCCTTCTAAGGCAGGTGTTTCGGCCCATCAAAATGCGAAACCCAAACCCGCAACCCCTCCAGCGATGAAGCTTCTGTCATCAAAAAGGTAGGTACGCAACTCACAAAATAGTTTACTTCGAAAAGACCCGGGCCATTCCGGGCCCTGCAGACAAGGAATTTGTGGCTCAGTCTGAGGTTGGGCATTCCAGGGACACAGGGAAACTTTGGGCTGGCCACTCCAGGAACACTCTGGGGATACACTCCAAGGATTCTGGTGACTGGGATGGCAAAATCTACAGCTCACACCCTTTGAGCAGTCACTATCAGCAGAATAAACTCCAGTATCTTTAGTGAAACTTCGCTGCACACAGAGCTGCACTGCACAGACTGACAGCACACTGGTGGCTTACTGCATACCTCCGGGTCGGGTTTAGCAGTTGGGCGCTCCAGGGATTTTCTGGGGATACTCTGGGATTGGGCACGAAGAACCCCACTCCGAAGGTGGGGACTAAATGCCAACTACACATGTGAACATGATGTCACAAGCCGGCAACCTAGCCTTGCGCGACAACCTCGTACACCGTCCCCGCGTAGGAGGGACCGAAGAATTCCACTGCTTCGTGAGCCCACACGCCGAAGAAGGGAGTCAAACCTCAAGAAACGCGTTTGACAAGAGGAGCCTTTCTTTAATCTAGAGTTGGGCGTCAGGATTCAGATGCATTCGGGGCAACAAGCTTAGGTCGGTGCACGTCAGAAGCCGACGAATAAACACAAAATTCACAAATGCACATGATCCCAGGCGCTGCGAAGTGATCCCCAGGTGGAAGCAAAAGACCGATCGCTTTGCAAACGCAGCCTACTTGGTTCTCCATGATCGCTTTCTAGATAGCTTTGGGAATTTTGGCCCATAATGTAAATTTGGAGACCCGCATGGGTAGAGTCCCCCCAAGATAGATTTCACAATGTGCTTGCAAACTTTGTAAACACGCCACAAGGGTCACAAGGGTTTCTGGCATTACCGGCAGGTAGATTCAGAAGAGTCGCAACTTCTCAGTATTGCTGCCAACCACAACTTGAAAAATCGCTCCAAACCCCAAGGAAAGACTTTAATCATGCTGCCGAGGTCGAAGCATCTAAACAAAGCATTTGGCTCTACACGCTAATACGAAGCCCTTCACAAGAATGGCTTCAGGCCCGCACCCCCTGGATTTTGGAAGCGCACGGCCAGTTCCTTGAAGGCGAGAATGTCTCTGTGACCTGAAGCTCCAGCCCCGTGCCCTGGGGAAGGAGGGGGGGGGGGGGGGCGTCTCGAAACCCCACGGGTCGTTGCAGTCCACAGTACGACGATACACCAAAAGAAAATAGATCGGGAGACAATGTCTGTAGATCCGAGATTGAATAATCTGAATACGTACAGATGGATCAGCTGCGATGGTTGCAGTCTCAAGCTTGTCGCTAAGCCTTTGCCCAGCCAAAGCGACTCCAGCCAGCCGTCGAAAAAATTGCGCGCTCATCTGCCAAGACCTCATTCTCGTGTAAGCCACGCTCTGGTATCGGTTCAACATAACAACATATCCCTGCGCGGCCCTAGGTGACGACAGTGATGGGATGCCATGCGCTCGAAGCTTCGCATGAGCAGATGGACGCTTGATTCCTTGGCCCCCCTGTTACCCCCTGTTCGGCCACAGTAAACCCTAAACCCCAAGCTTCCAGGTACTGCTGCTCTCGTACATGTCAGAGGCCTTTCAGTTAAGCTGCAACTCGATCGTTCACGAGATTGTCACCCTTCTGCAGCTTCGTCAAGACCTCGGGAGGGTACAGTTTAGGCTTTAGGGATGCCTAGGTTGAGAGCTTCAGCATGAAGAATAAACTGGAAAGAAGGACTGGACATTTGGCTCCCAAGGGCCTGTTGGGTGAGGCCCTTCTTGAAGATGCGAACGTTCGGATGCCCAAGCATGCTCACGCCATCCGTGTTGGAGATGGAGTCTGGGAGCGTGGTGAACTCGCCTGGGTTGGGAAGGACACTACATTACCTTCTGAGATGCATACTAGGGCAAGTTTGATATGAATACTATGGTAAGTTATTTCAAGCTTCTTGAATGCAACCCGGTCACTTACCCCATCAATTTCCCTGCACTTTCGGTCGGCCCCGCATGCGACTTGCGAGATACGTTTGGCCAGGTGATGGTACCTGGCCCGTGTTAACGCCGACCGGTACTCACCACGAATCTTCTTGAGCTTGTGCAAGAGGCTCTCCACAGCAGCTTGGCCGCGATAGAAAAAACCGGTCCTTATAGGTGCGTGCACAAGAACCCTGTAGGTGTCCTAAGCATGCGTGGCTGTCAGGAAGGGGTGCGTGCGCTTGCAGCGTTGGCTCATTTGGCTCTGCGCACCAATCGCCATCGTCATGGAGTAGTCATAGTGATCATTCTGCTTCATGCCCAGACGGTATGGGTACTGCTGCCATCACCCTGTCATCGAGTTTGCTGGTGCCGCGCGCCGCTGCCGTTACAATCCACTGCAGTTGTGCCTGTCGCGGTGGATGTCTGCTGAGCGTCGGTGGTGCAAACTGGCTGCTGCTGTCTTCGCTATATTTCGCTACATTCGCAATATCTCGACATCATCCGTCGCTATTGGTTTGTACAGCAGCAAAGGTTGGACCAATTGAGCCGCGCGTCTGTTTCACACACACAGGTGTGCATGAGGTCACACAGCATTGCTTCTTGTCCTCCTCGCTGGCAGTGCCCAGAGCTGTCCTCACATGGGCGCTCGTGTTGGATGGTTCTACAGTGATCCTGATGTGGACTAAGCTGAAATTCGTAAAGTCGCCATCCCCTTCCTGGACTCTATCTACTTTGAAGGAGATGGAGATAGAGAGCGAGGGAGAGAATCACTCACTCACTCACTAACTCACTCATCTATGTATGCAATATGTGCTTTGGCCAAGGGCGGATCGATCAAATTATAGGCTTAAGCCAAAGCTCTGCTCACAGAGGTTGAACATCTCTTGCAACACCTTTGCGTTGTCCGGCACAGCATCCAAGGTGTCTTTCCAATTGGTCGTGTCGGGTGCTGGGTTGGGGCATCCGACAGCGTTGAACGTGTCAACCAGCACCTGCCAAAGGAGAGCGTGTGCCGCAAGTACTTTGCCAGAACCGAACATGGAATGGAGCTGGGGCTGCCCTAGAGTGCCGAGATCAGAAGCCCAGCATGCAGATCCCAAAGGTCATGTAACATGTAGAAACCGGAGTCGACATACTCTACCCACGATCCCTGTCTACATGCATTCTTGCAGCGTAAGTGTTGCAACCCCCTTTTTCAGGATTCAGGCTGCTGCATGTCTGGCCTCGTCTGTAATCGAGCCCTGCGGCATCAAGCCTCAGCTCGCATCTAGGGTGTTTCTGGGGTTCAGGGATGGGTTCAGGGTTTGGCTTCAGGGACTTGGGGCCTTAGGCCCAAGCCCTAAACTTTACATTCTTTATATGAATCATCGCCCAAGCTCCCTCTATATCCGTACAAGCATGTATTCATGTATATATATATATATATATATATGGGCGTCCGCCTATTGCGGTTCCCCATAGTTTTTTTGGTTTACATACATGTATATATTCTAACCCTAAACCATCGTTATAACCACAGCAACAAGTCGATGATGATGTAGGTACCCCAAACCTATAGGGTTAAGTTTGACAGGTTTAGGGCTTAAGATTCAGGCATTTAAACGTCAGCCCGCAATGAAACCTAAACCCTAACCGTTCAACCCGATAGAGTTAAGGTTAAGTGGTTAGGGTTTAAGATTTAGGTATTTTTAAACTTTAAACCTAAACCCATAGAGATTTAACCTTAAGGGTTGAAAGTTCGGGCAGGTAAACCTTAACCCTGAACCGTTTAGGGTCAGAACCCTAAAACCCGACAGGGCTCTACAAGGAACAAAGGTTTTGACCCTAAAGGGTGCTGGAGGTATACATGCCCAGACCTTAGGTTTTCTTGAACCATTCAACCCTACAGGGTTTAAAGGCTTAGGGTTTAAGGTTTAAGCATTACCTGTACGATAGAACCTTAAAGCCCTATAGGGCTTGGGGCTTAGATCCCTAAACCTTGAATCCCATAGGGCTATGCCTACGTTTGCAGGGCTTTCTTCCCGGTGACGCGAGAATACTGTGAGCAAATGTCCTTTTCACTACTTCCTGGGATTCAAAATATATACAAACCATATCGTTATATGATAGAATTCAGGTTTTGCTTATCGGGGGATGGTTGCTTGAGCTATCTTAGGTAAGGTAAGGATTTTAGGATAGAGGTTGTGTTTTGCTTATTGGGGCGTGATGGGGTTACCCTCATTTTCTTATAGGCTATTTACATGTATATAAATCAAACCCTGAACTATAGTTATACCCGCAGCAAGAAGTTATAACCTTGTCATAAAGAAATTTCCGCAGAGCTCGTCAAATCCGATCATGATGTAGGCGCCCCAACCCTAGAGGGTTAAGGTTGACAGGTTTAGGGTTGAAGATTGAGGCATTTAAACCTAAGCCGGCAATTCAACCTAAACCCGAACCTTTAAACCCTATAGAGTTAAGGTTTAAGGGGTTGGGGTTTAGGATTTAGGCATTTAAAACGAAAACTCGAAAAGTTTCAATCTTAAGTGTTTGAAGTTCGGGCATTCAGACCTTAACCCTGATTCGTTTAGGGTCAGAACCGTAAAACCCTACAGGGCTCCCAAAGGTTCAAAGATTTTAACCCTAAAGGGTACTGAAGGTATACATGCCCAGACCTTCAGTTGTCGAACCATTGAACCCTATAGGGTTTAACGGTTTAGGTTTAAGGTTTGGGCATTAATTACCTATACAATAGAACCTTAAAACCTCAGAGCGCTTGGGGCTCAAATCCCCAAACCTTGAATCCCATAGGGTTATGCCTACGTTTGTAGCGCTTTCGTCCCGGTGACGCGAGAATACTGTGAGCAAATGTCCTTCCACTACTTCACGGGATTCAAAATATAAACAAAGAGGATAATTCAAGTTTTGCTTATCGGGGGATGGTTGCTTGAGCTATCTTAGGTAAGGTAAAGATTTTAGGATAGAGTCTTTGTTTTGCTTGAGCTATCTTAGGTAAGGTAAAGATTTTAGGATAGAGGTTTTGTTTTGCTTTTTGGGGCGTGATGGGGTTACCGTTACCCTCATTTTCTTATAGGCTAATTTACATGTATATCAATCAAATCCTGAACCATAGTTAGAACCGCAGCAAAAAGTTATAACCTTGTCATGTACATATATCCGCAGTGCTCGTCACTTTCACTACTTGCTGGGATTCAACATATACACAAACTATATCGTTAAACGATGGAATTCAGGAATTGCGTATCGGGGGATGGTTGCTTGAGATATTTTCGCTAAGGTAAAGTATTTGGGATATTTCGCTTGTTGGGGGCGTGATGGGGCTCCCCTTATTCTTATGGGTTTACATAAGTGTATAAAAATCAAACCCTAACCCATAGTTATAACCACAGCAATAAGTTATAACCTTGTCATATAGAAATTTCCGCAGAGCTCGTCAAATCCGATCATGATGTAGGCGCCCCAACCCTAGAGGGTTAAGGTTGACAGGTTTAGGGTTTAAGATTGAGGCACTTAAACCTAAGCCGGCAATTCAACCTAAACCCGAAGCTTTAAGCCCTATAGAGTTAAAGTTTAAGAATTAGGGTTGAAGGCGCAATCCCATATAGTATACGTATACTTCTGAGCAGAAAAGATACGGGAGACACTGCTTGCGATTCAGAATATTCGGAGCAGAAAGGATACAGGGGACACTGCTTGCGAATCAGAAGTTTAGGAGCAGAAAAGATGCGGTCGAGGTACCTCGGCAGGAGCACCATTAAACCCTCAAACCATTAAACCAATAAACCATTAAACCATTGAACCAATGGTTTCCCCCTTATGAGAATCCCCTATTCTATTAAACCATTAAACCATTAAACCATTAAACCAATGGTTTCCCCCTTATGAAAATCCCTTAAACCATTAAGCCATTAAGCCATTAAGCCATTAAACCATTAAACCATTAAACCATTAAACCAATGGTTGCCCGCCATGAAAATGGTCTAATGGTTTGGGGGATTCTCATATGGGGGAAACCATTGGTTTAATGGTTTAATGGTTTAATGGTTCAGGGGATTTTCAAAAGGGGGAAACCATTGGTTTAATGGTTTAATGGTTTAATGGTTTAGGGGATTTTCAGAAGGGGGAAACCATTGGTTTAATGGTTTAATGGTATGGTTTAATGGTTTAATGGTTTAGGGGGGAGACCATTGGTTTAATGGTTTGAGGGATTCTTGGCTAGATGGTTTAAGGGAATGTGCAAAAAACACAGGGGAACCGCTATAGGCGGTGACCCATATATATATATGTATATATGTATATATGTATATATGTATATATGTATATATGTATATATATATATATATAGTACCTGCCCCAAAGACCCATACTTTGCTTGTCTTGCACAGCATGCCTTGACCCTTCGCCTCAAAAGTGCAGAGACTAGAGGGAAATTCTGGAATCCTAGGTTTGGATCTTGAAAGCGGTTGTAGCTTGAGCCCATAAACATTCCTTATTTGATCTGATCGGACATGAACGAAAACCAAGAATCTGTTTTGGATCTGGCTTCGGTCTATTGCAGTTCTTGTTAACATCTATCTCGGCATTAAAGGAAACCCCGGAAACCTAGAATTCTAGTTTTGGAGGTTGCTTCGGTTTACATGAATTCCGTTCTAAATTTCGTTAAGATCACAGGCACAACCTGGAATCCCAGAATTCCTTGTTGGATCTACTTGGAAATGGAAGAAAACCAAGAATCCTAGAATATGAGTACAAACGCAGATCTTTGGGGGTGGGGGGAGGGGGGTGGTAGCATATAAATAAGTAAAAAAAATATATATGTAATATAAATATATAGAGACAGATTCAGATAGATATTCATATTGCCTTTGTACCGAACGCATAAGAAACACTGAATTGCGCGTCCCTAAACCCGAACCCTTTTTAAATGACCCCAGTCCAGCCCTAAACCTGAAATTGCCAGACGCCAGCCTGTGGAATGCCGGGCTGCTCAAGAGATCTGCGATGGTGGCGAAGTGTGAGGCAGCAACTTCCTTGGGGGAGATGCTTCGACTTTAGAGGTTAGGGTCCACTGGTCCACAGTCCACCAGAAGCAGATTAAAACTTTGCAGGGGGAGGGAGCAGGGACGATGTCGCAGCTCATATGGCTTCAGTAGCTTTCTGTCGCTGTGACTTGTCACCGTAGGCCATGCGCCAGCCGCGGCACCCTATGAACCAATGCTTCTTCAATACTGGCACCACAGCTTTTGAGAGACGCCGTAACGGCGAATTTACATGCCACTTTGGTAAAACTCGTACTATGGTCAGAATAGCTATTACGCGTGACACTGTGCATTCCGACCACGAAACCCCAAATCATAAACCTTCCTAAAATTTAAGGCGTCTGGCTGGTTCTGCCGAGGGTCTTGCAAGACAAAGGCGATGCCGGCGTTCATGTTCGTCTTGCCTCTTTCAAGGACCCGCCAAAAGACGACATGGGCTTCCCTAAGCATAGGGGTCATAGGGTCATAGTGTCAATAAGAGCCTAGCAGATAGCAATCTGCAAAACTGTGGCGTGTGAACCCACGCTCGAGCATGTCTACTCGTGATTTGTGTCAGGTTCAGGGTTTATGAAATTATATGTAGGGCTTGTAGAAAAGTTCAGGCTTCAGGCTCTGGAGGTTTGCGCTATTTTGTACGATTGTGAGTGCCTTGGCCTTCCAAACTTACCGAGCCCTAATTCACCCAAAGCCTCGATCTAGACTCTCTAAGCGATTTTGGAATCCGAGCAGCACTCTTCCTGGATGCGATCGCAGCTAGACCAAGCAATGCTGTTGGCCTGCAGAAAGGCTCCCGACATTTTGCAGAGGTCTCTTTTATCTTTTGGCCTTTTGGAGTCTTGGAAGTGTCCCAGACAACCGCACAAAGGGGTCGAGTTCAGGCTACAGAAGTTCGTTACAAGCTGGGTTTCGGACCGGTTTCGGATGTTTGGCTGGCCTGAGGTTACGCGTTAACAGCATTGTTCTTGGAACTTGGAGCCCTTCTTCCAGTTTAGGTTTCAGGTTTCAGAAGTATGAAAATACCGTTTGAGGATTGTAATACATGGCTTCGAACCCTGAAAATATGTTTCTGGTCGCCGGGTCTGCAGGCCCAAAACGGGTTGAGGGTCCATGCCTTAAACTTGAACCTTAAACCGGTTGTCCTGCAAGTCCTTACGTTCAGGGCTTGCAGCTTGACAAACCAAAGCATACCAAAGCGGAAGGAACCCGCTAGAGAGAGCTCAGAGCTGCGAAGCTTTAAACACAAGACGATTAAAATCACACACCTCCCGCGCACCAAGCAAGGGTTTCAGGTCTCAGGGCTTCATAACACTACGAGCTCAGCCACCCCCAACCCGAACCCTGCGCACTCCTGGCTCTTCATGTGATCTCCCTGGCCCTCAGCTGAGTAACCTCAGATTTCTGTGGGACTGGGCAGTGTTCAGGGCAGCAGGGCTTTGGTTTCAGAAGCGGGGTCCTACTTGAAGCAAGGAACCAAACAACCGCAACAGAAGATGCATTCTTTGTCCTGAGCCAAATAACATGACCCACGTCTTAAGCCTATAATTTTGTGCAATGTGACCAAGGCTGCCAACACGTTTCGTTGCGACAACGGCCTTGACCACGGCACATCGCAGCCCAATCACGGCCGGAGAAGGCACACACTTTCCGTACTCGAGACTTCGCTCTCTCTCTCTCTCTCTCTCTCTGTCTTCCTTCCTTCCTTCCTTCCTTTGTTTGCACCTGGTCCCCAATGGGGACCGCCCTCAGGGGCGTGCATAAGCGATCCAGTCGGCGTGATGCTTCAAGAACAGTATGGGCTATCTCTCTCTCTCTCTCTCTCTCTTTGATTGGGGCATCGCGCACCCAGAGGTTGCAAGGCACCCCAGTACAACGGGTCAGCGACACGAGTGAGTTGTCAATGTCTGGCTCATTCGATAGAGCCCTGTGAGCCGGTGTCTGGAGACTCTGGCGCAAACTAACCGCTGCCAGGTTCTGCCGTAGTGCTTGGCGCACAAGCGAGCATAGCAAAAAGGAAGTCATGCCTCTTGACAATGGGAGTTTTTGGGATCCCATGAGGCTGAATGGGACAGGTACCCAGCTGCCATTCAGTCAGGTTGAAAGTGCCCAAAGGACTAAGGAATTGCTCGGCAGCTACTAAGCAGGACTGGACTGCCCTCTCTCTGGGATGTGAAGTTCCGCATTCGGGGGTCAGATTGCCTTGCCGTACTAGTTTCTAGTTTAAGGGCCTCGATTTCTCAGCTTGCTGAAATCTAGCACCTGGTGCACTTCCCCGAAACAGCTGTCCAGAGTCGAAACACAAACTGAGGAAAATTCCCGATGGTCTGGATGTGACACCATGTGGCAGTTCACAAGCTGACCCAGTCACCTTGTGCCTGCAATCCGTTGACTATCCTGGCCTGGTTGGATGGGCTTTGACGGATCTACTGGAATTGTTTCAACTGGGCCGTCGGGGCGGACTGCGCGGGAGCTTCCGGTGTACAAATCCACACGCTCCAGATGGAAGCTAGCCGAAGAGTGCCTGCGACAGCCACAGGTCTTCCACATGGTATCGCGGAAACACGGCGGTCTATGGTGGGGCAAGTGCTGCTGCTGCGGCACGTGCCATTAACAAGCTTAATTTAGAAAGGAACCAAACAAGCGCAACAGACTGATGAAACTTTCCTTGAGTTAGTTGACATGATACAGGTCAGATAAACTGCACTTGCAAGTAATCATCCAGTATCAAACACAGCTTTTTCGCCCCGGTGGCTTAGGGGTTGGGCCGAGGGCAAGGTTCAGAGACTGCCGACCTTGGCGAGACTCCCTCCGTCCTTGACCCTTCTTTGGCACCCTAATTAAGGGGCCTTTCTTGGGACCTTGAGGACCTTTCGGGACAAGCCCTGAGAACCCCTGGCAAATGCTCGGGTGCGATCGTGGCTTCGACTGGTTGCTGGGGCAACGGGCTAGGGTTTCAAGGGTACGGTCCAGGTTCAACATGGAACCAGCTTTCGAAGGAAGTTGTCCGGCGGCTTAAACAAAGAGCAAAGTCTCCCCATCTGGCCCGGAAACCCTAAACGTTTAAACAAGCTGCCTAGAAACGCCCTTCACGTGGCACGTGTTCTGCAGTCCAAGAGTCAGCTGTAGGCGGCAGAGTAGCATTTTTCGAGCAAGCGTGCCTGAAAGAGGCACTAAAGGATGTAGGTGGGGACTGGGATTGAGATGCTGTGTCTGGTGCTTTCTTCGACGAAGGCCTCGAGCGCAAGCACAATGCTTAGGGCCTTCGGTTTAGGTTTTCGCGACTGAAAATTTGAAAGAAGCAGATCGCTGTGCTAACTAGGGTTTGCGGGCCCCCCAAGCCGCAAACCCATATTTACACACAATTACACCATGTCAAGCTTCAACTTCCCCAATGACAAGCCCTAGAAGCCGTAGACTCTACAGACGCATCCCAATCATTTTTCTTTATGCCCACGCCTGGAGTTCGGTCGCCTCAGCCTCCAGGAGCATGCTTTGAGAAAGCCGCACCTGGAGTCAGGCTTTAGGGTTTGGAAAGTTTACGGGTTTCTTGGATGGTTGGCGCTTCGAACTGCTTGGGAAGCCTCGCAGACCAAGACACATGAGATGCCCGAATGCGCTGTATTCCTGAGGCTCCCCACCTTCCATCATGTAACTTTGGGGGCTACAGTGGCTACAGTTCTTTTGTGAAAGAAATCGTGACTAACCATGATATCCGAGCCCTAGATATCATCATGTCCCACTGCGCACCAATGCCAGCCTCAGCCCCATAAGCCCTAACCCTCATTAAACCCTACTAGGACGCCTAAAACCTCCCTACTCCCCAAACCCCACAATTTTTCAATCTCCCTGAAGGTCTGGGGCCCAGGTACGTTGCCGCCGACTGGGGCCACCGACGAGGCCAAGCCCAACTTGCTCCTTGTGTGGGGTGTCATAGGAAGCTCGGGTTTATGAGTTTAATGATTTTTAGGGGGTTTAGGGTTTAAACCGAGGGTTTGGGGCAAAAGATCCTGGCTGGGATTGGTCATTCAGGGCTTACGGGTCACAGATTAGACATTCGGATGGGTTTCTTATACAGGGTTGTGACTGCAGTTCTCGGAGCACCATACTGAGCAATATACTGCAAGATTCCTCCCGAAGCCTCTGACAAAACGGGATCCTCCGAATCCCAAACCCCAAATCACCCTAAACCCCAAACCCCAAACCGAAACTCCCTCCAAGCTTCGAGAAGCCCTTGAGGGCCGCGGCCACTCGGCCATTGATGGATCCAAGGGGTCCCCCCTCCACGTCTTTCATCCCAACCATCTGGCAGGGGGAGGGACTTAGGAATCTTTTTGTGCGCTTAAACCCTATAACCCTGTGTGTTTAGATTGTTGATTGTTTTGTGGGGATCAAAAGCTTCAGGAACCTTCCAGGGGGCTCATGGTGGTACCATGAACAAACCTCAAGCCTAAACCGATAGTTCTTACATCGTCTGTTAGGGTTTGACACACTTCTTCGTTGGCCAGGTGATTGGCAGCGAGGGGCTGGGTAGGCCACCGTATCCCATGGTAGATTTCTTCTTCCATCACTGCCTCTGAGCTTTGTTTGCGAAAGGCTAGGGTTCAGGGTTGAGGGGTTGAACCCTGTCCGCCTCTTTCACAGTCTTGAGCAAGAACGGGCTGGTCTGGAAAATGTAGTCGTTTTCCTTCAGGGGTGCTGTGCAAACCCTTTTGCCACCAAAAGCCGGTAGGTACTTTGAAACTTAAACATCCCGGTAGTTTGGCATGCCTAAAACTATCATGAGATGGCGCATGAGCTTCCCGAAATCTCCACATCACGGTAAGTATCTCACACTCGGTACGCAAGCAAGAGCGCCTAGAACGTTTCAAGGTAACAAAAACGATGAAGGTGAAGGTATATAGGTCTGGCTAATCAAAGCCAGATATCACAGACAGGAAAGCCTGTCGTTGGTGACAGGCAGAAAAGCACGTCGCATGTTACGACGTCACTTGGCAAACCTTCCGAAGCCAACATCAAGTAACATCAAAAAGGCCTTCTATTGCGGCTCTGAGAGTCTGCTTAGCGCTCGCTAGCATCTACTAACACACAAGCCACGTCTTCTCGGCATTTTCGAACCAACGAACTGTATGTTTTCAACCAGGGCGACATGCTAAGTTTGCTGGCTTGCATGGCCAGGTTTCACGGACAGGGGTGTCGGATTTGGGAATCCGTGCCTGCATGTGCTTGTTCCATTGACCATTTCACTTGCTCATTTTTTGGCAGGCCCTGCATCTCAACCACTTTGACTCGTGAAAACTGCCCAAAATCCAAAAATTGCATCTCAAGTCCGAAACCCGGAATCCATGCTCGTGGGTCGTGCTGAAAAGTTCTGAAGTAGGGTCGAGGGTTAGAACTATCCCAACGCCCAAACCTGAAGAGTGGATCCTGGCTCTTGCTCATCAAATTGTCCAAGAGGGTGGAGGAGATGCTTGCCACGGGCCCGAGGAAGGGGCTGGCACCGTTTGCCATACCTGCTCAGGCCATCGCCCCCTCCCCCTGCAAAGTACATGGAAGAAGAGCCAGGAGTGTGATGGTATGCGGTATGTCTCCCAATTTTCATAATCACGACATTCAGAATGTGCGCTGAGCAGGGCTTCCACATGTTGCTGGATTTGCAGAATTGCTGCAAGGCCCTCAGCCGAAGGAGCAGTGAAGCAAGAGCCATCCTGAAATAGGCGGAACAAAGTACAAACCCCGGAAACAAACGAAGCAGACAGACCATCGTCGTAGGCGCGATGCCACGCATGAGGGGTCGAGCAAATTCGTCTGGCATAGCATAGTTTAAGTAGGGGTCCGGCTTTCGAGCTTTAGGGTTCTGGAGGATGTGAGGTCTCGGACTGTACTCTAGGACTTCCAGCTAACTGTGCTAATCTCATGGCCGAAACTCGGCACTCCTTCGAAATTTTGCCCTACTACCAAAGCCCGAATTGCTAGGGTTCTTAAACCCTAGACCATACACGTTAAACGTGCTCAACCCTGCAAAGAAACAGGGAGCCGAATACAACTCCGGGGTTTGGGCCACCTGCCAGGCCCCTTCCGAAGAAGGTGGCAGCCGCAAGTCCTCCGAAGAAGAGGAAAGCTTTAAAGGCGTTTAGGGCGGTATCGGGATCAAGGTTAGGGAACCTTTTGGCTTACGCCGAGCTCGTTTCCCTTCGCCATGTTTGCCGCGATGTCTGCAGCCATATTTCGGCTGGCATGCTCATAGTCAGCGTGCAGCCCGAGCTAACCAAACTTTATTCACAAGCTGAAGGCTCCGATAGCCACCTTGACAAAAGCCATGCTCAAAAGGAGACCTGGCATGGGCCAGCTATGCTGGCAGATGGTTAACAGGGACCCAGAACCCGGACAACCAGAAAACCCTAGAGTCCTACAGCATGCTAAAACACCAATCGCGAGCTCTCCGAGAAATGATGCCGTGTGATGAAGGAGGCCGATGAAGACATCATGGTGACGATGGTGGTCGTGGGTGGTGCCTATGGTGATAAAAGAGAGAAAGTGAGGACGCCAGTGCTGCTGGTGTTGATGGCAATGAAGAAAAAACGACGATGGCGAAAAGGACGAGGCAGCAAACAACAATGTCAAATGGCGTTGTGACAGTCAGGAACTCGGAACTGCTGAGCAGCTGCAACGGTGCGCAACGAAATGCATACGAAAAGACGTGGTAGTGGCAAACGAACACTCCATGCACATATGCAGGCACATGCCAATATCACCTCACCAGCAGGATAAGGGTGGCCACGGCGTACAATCCTGTGACTGATTCTTGGTCACTGCGTGCGTCTCTCTCTCTGTCTCTTTCAATCGGTGACCGCTGCCAAAAAGCAAAGAGCCATCGCACGACTCATATGTGCTGCACTGCGTTCACTATTAAACTAAGAGGAAGAAAGGAGCGACCAAATGCCCCTTCAACATTAGAAGCAGAGCGTGTGACTTTCATACGGGAATTGAACCTTAGACATTTTGGCGCGCCAATATTCTTTGTTCTCGGGTTTAGGGGTTCGGGCTTTGTGTTCATGATCCGGTCGGGGCTGCAGCGACATTGGGAGACCCAAACCTGCACCTGTTACCTAGAAGTCTGGCGCGAGTTGATGACCAAAAGGTTGCTCCTGTCTGCTCCCAGGCCACTTTTCCTTGGCAGGGCACAACAAGAAAAGAAACCTTTGAATTGTTTCTGCCGTTGAGAGCACACACCCATTGAGCCCAGATTCCACCATGCAGCAGCGTGCTGAGCTTGTTGCCCAGCATGCCGTTGAAGCCCTCGACGGGTGATGAACCCGCCTGAATTGGAAGTGGCTCTGAAAAGTGTTCCTAAACGGAATCCTCAAACCCCCTTTTGGTCCCCAAACCTCAACCCAAAGCTCCCAGAAGAGTTGAATACCGGAAGAATTAGTTCGTGAGAGCCTTCTATGCCTTTTTTGCTGTGGGCACAGCATGGCATACATACAAATATATCTATATACATACAAACATACAAAGCTGTTTGGGCTCATGGTTGAGGGTTCATTTGGTTTCGAGCTGATGAAAACCATGAAGAACCATAACCAACCATGAAAACCCTTGAAAACTCAAGAAAGAGTAAATAAGCTAGGAACCCTAATTTTCAAGTTCCGGAAGCTGACGGCCTTCGCTTCTGGCAACAGCTTCGTCGAAGTGAAGGTCTTGTAAAAGTCTTTGACGATGGCATCTTGGTTTAGGGGTTCGGGTTTGTAGGGTTTAGGGAAGTTTAGGGGCAATTCAGGCAACTTCAGAAAACAAGGAAGCTATGTTGGGCTTTTAGTTTAAGGCTTACGGGGAAACCTGGGAATCACGATGGCCGATGGCCATTGCTCCTCCGCTTGGGAGGTGTCATTTAGGTGCGGACGGGTCTACACGAAACCCGAACCCAACTGGGTACCCAACTGGGTTTAAGTCGCACCTAAAAGGCCTTGTCAAATGCCCCAAACCCTCTGCTTGAACCCAGCCGGCCTTTCTGACTCCCATAGAACTTCAGCTCGGTGAAGTCGGCCTCGTACATGCCCGCAGCCTTCGCCCCACCATCCTCGGAGCCGAGCGGGGTTCAGGCTTTAAGGCTTAGGGCCAGGGTTACAACATGTTGCAAACGCATCCCTTTCTTGCACCCTCAACAATTCAAGAAGGGAATCGAGCTCGGCGAAGCGCGCTGTAGCCGAGGCCAGATCCGTGAAGAACTCCGTGTTCACGTTTCCCCAGTCCATGTGCGTGAAGACCAGGTAACCAGTAGCCTCAGCAGGCTTGGGGGTTAGGTATTCGATGGCCTTTGTTACACAAGAGACATTCCAAAGTAGCCTAACCAAACGAAGTTAGACGGGTACATGGAGCACCTTTCGGGTTAAGAAAGTCAGACTCCCCGCAATTAAAAAAACTCCACAACAAAAAGCCCTATGCTTGAAAGATGCTTGAAGAATTCTGGTTCCCGTCTCACGAGAAAGCCGCCAAGGCACAATTCTGGAGGCGAAACTCGATTGACCAAGAACTCGCCGGTGAGCCACGTAGCAAATGTCCCCGTGACCGAAAGTGGTGGCCTTCGAGCTTCCAGCTTCACGAGCGAATTGGGGCAACAACCGACAGATCAAGCATAAACAAAAACAATGACACCCAATGCATATTATGGCTTCCAAGCCAAACATCGTCAGCGCTGCCGACTTTGTCGAAGCTCTAGGGTTTCGACGATCACACGCGCACACGCTAATTCTGGAACACCTCGAAATCAACAGAAATGCATGGGCGAATGCCCTCTTTTTTCTGTTCAACAATACCGTTACTGTAAACCATGAAAACTATCAAAGGTTCCAGAAAAGCGAAGACGCAACTGAAGAAAAAAGACACTGTCAAACACCACGACCACTACCACTAAGTACTGCTACTGCCACTGCTACCACTACTGCCGCTATATTACCACTCTCGCTATGACTACTGTACCACCACTACTACCACTACTACCACTACTACCACAACTACCACTACTACCGCAACTACCACAACTACCACTACTAGTATTACTACTACGATTACTACTACCACACTACTACTACTACTACTACTACTACTACTACTACTACTACTACTACTACTACTACTACTACTACTACTACTACTACTACTACTACTACTACTACTACTACTACTACTACTACCACACTACTGCTACCAGTACACCACTAGTACTCCTCCTCCTCCTCCTGCTCCTCCTCCTCCTGCTGCTGCTGCTGCTGCTGCTGCTCCTGCTCCTACTCCTGCAACTCCTCTCCTACTACTCCTGCTACTCTTGCTACTCCTGCTACTGCTGCTCCTGCTACTACTGCTACTGCTACTGCTGCTACTGCTGCTGCTGCTGCTACTCCTACTACTACTACTACTACTACTACTACTACTACTACTACTACTACTACTACTACTACTACTACTACTACTACTACTACTACTACTACTGCCACTGCCGCTGCCACTACCACTACTACACTACTACGACCACCACTACCTACTGCCTACTACCTATTGCCTCAGATGCCCTACTGCCTCCGCCCTCTAGCCTACTGCCTACTACTTATTGCCTCCTGCTTCCTTCCTTCCTCTTTCCTACTATTAGGATGACGACGTCGCCTACTATTCCGCATGCGGGAGCGCGTTTTGATTTTCTTGCGGGTGCAGCGGGATGGAGTTGTTGTGCGGGGGTGCCCGTTTGCTGAGTTTTGTTTTGTCTTTTCTCTTCGTTTCGTTTCGTTTTGATGCTGTGGGGACAAGCCAGCTAACTCGCACACCTGAACGGCCCCGACACGGGTGCGGAGAGATGCAGGGAGAGCTTGATTCTTGTTTGCTTCAGGTGAGGCGGACGCATGTGCTTTTGCTGGAGGTGCAGGGGGCACTTTCTTCTTTGCTACGGGGAAAGGGGCGGGCGCGGGCCAACTCACTCACTCACAGGGCCGGCCTCCAAAGAGTAAAGCGTCTACAGTAACAAAGCAGCCAGAACTTAGGATTTAGGGTCGCCCGAGGGTGATCACAAAGAAAGCCCCTCTCAGGTCCTCGATCGGGACCTTCCAATTGCCGCACGTATTCGCGTTGGGCTGTCCGATGCCGGTGCATGTGACATCCCGCTGGCATCGGGTCCTGCAGCCATCGAGGTTTGTCCTGAGGTTTGCGATCTGTATGGAGTCGACACCAAGCATACCGGCTGAACTTGCCAGGCTGTCAGTCTTCGCGGCCCTTTACAGCCCTTCGTCAGCAAGTGCTGCCAAGGTTCGTGGCAATCGTGTAATAGGTGCTTTCGATGTCTGTGGGGGAGCTCCCCCGACAAGCCGTGCTGCCACCCAAGATCATCTCAAATCCAAGCGGTCCCGTCGTGCCCTCGAACCCAACGATAGCCTCCTGCGAAGCGTGTTGATGCTGCATGAGCAGGACTGGCTAAGTGTGTGTGCTGTTACATGGCATTTCGGTTCAGCGCCGCTGGAGTGTGACGGGGAATAGCTTATGGTCCATTCAGAACCTCTGGGGATGTGGGGCCATGACCTGATCCCCCAAGCAAAGAAGACCCCTCTCCTTCTCAGACCCTGTGCCAGAACATGAATTTCGGGAGGAGTTCGCCCTACAGCACTTTAAAGATGGAACGTTACATACACTAACAAAGAAGCCCTATGCTTCGTCAGCCTGCTAGAGTCACCTAAGCCCCGCAAAGAGAACCGCAATCTGTGGTCAACCTGGCACCGCTGTCCTTCTTCATCAGATTCACCGATGTGTTCTGGAGAGAGGCATTGCCGATGCTCGCGTTCGCATGATCTGTTTGGATGAGCTGTTTACCGACCTCAGCTGTTCATCCTAAGGCCCTGAATCCAAACACATACCTCTAGCCTCTAGCTTTCAAGGACAATTAAACTGGATCTTCAATTTGCAGTCTGACTCATTGTGTCTGAATGTTCGCTACCTGCAAGTTAACCCTCACATGTTTGTGCAACTTTTGCCGGAAGGGTTTGGGCACCGTCTCAGCCTTCTAAAAAGATCCCATTGAGCATCGTCTCATGTATTCTCTGTATGTATTCCTTGTTGTGTGCAGAGACTGCTTGTTCTTCATGCAGGTGCTTTCGTACGCTGCGCTTGCCATTCTTGCCTTCCACCCCTCTTTCTCTTGGCCTCTTTCTGTCTTGCCTACAGTACCAGAAGCATCTGACACAGGGAGAATCACACACCTTTCAGATGCGCCAGTCCGGAAGCAACCTATATACACTCAACCCACCAACTCCTGAACCAAGTTCCCCACACCCCACCCCGAATTATCGGGGCCTGACCACTGCACCGCTGACTGAACCCGATAAAAACCCTAAGCTTCTTAAACTTCCTAACCTTCCTGAACCATGAGCCGCTAGCCTTGGCTGTGACCACACCGCTGGAGTGTGCCTGTTCCACGGCTGCACAGAGAAACTCAATAACTTTAAGGCAAGGCTTGTGAGCGGATGCTCGCCATTGTGCTGCGTATCCTGCCCACGACTGATCCACAAGGATGCGCGCGCACACACTTCAAAAACACTGCTTGGTGCTTGCTTGTTCTCGCGGTTTTCGGCTTTGGGGAGTTTCGCGGGTTGGGTTTAAGGAACTCATCAAAAGTTTGGGTTTGGAAATCGTGCTTGCCTGTTGAGTCAGGGGCCATAAGCCCTCATCGGACTAGGCCCCTCCATAACACTCCTTGTCCTTCATGACCTTCATGAGGACAAAACCCCAAAGCCTACCGAAGCTTTCAACCTGCATGTCATGCAAGACCCTGAGTGACAGGGAAGATATAGGATCTACCTGTTGAGGCTCGGGGCTTCTGGCGAGCGATGATTCAGAAGGCCTATACCCCTAAGAGACGCCGACTCGCGGACTCCCCGCTACGGTCAGACGTAAGGGTTTCGGCTACGTGCGAAATGACGCGACAATAGCGTATTTTGTTGTACAAACTGCTGTCTGCGCCATGAGAATGAGAAGCCCTGCCGCCGGAGACTTGTGGCAGAAAACCCTAAACCCTAAATCCTAAACCCTAAACCCTAACCTACAACACATACCCTGCAAGCCCTGGCATCCGGCCGCCTTCTTGCCCGCCAGCAAGGGCAAGAACCTGGAATGGGTTGCAGGGTTCTGGACGCAGTAGGCACTTAGAGGGTTTTCAGGCAGAAAACAGCAGAAACTTGGAGCATCTGTCCGAACTCCAAGGGATAGAAGGAGTTTGGGCACATCGGGATCTGCAGCACTCCTCGAAAGCCATCACACTTTTGCCGACCATGCCATACCGCTAGCCCCTGAACACTAAAACATACTAAAACTCCTCAAGCAGGCCGAAGCACCCCATGGCTACCACGGCCCATCGGATGGATTGCTTCATTTAAAAACTACAGGCGCGCAGGCAAACCTGCATAGGTCGAGCCTCGCGCTGCTGCGGGGGGGGGGGCTTTGGCGAAACATGCGACATCATGCGACCCTTCGGAGGCAGGGTGCTCGGCAGTTGGCCATGGCTCATAGTTAATTCTGGAAAAAAGGGGCCCCTCCTCAATCCACCTACTAAAGCGCTTTATTGAACCAGAGCTCAGTATCCGTGACCCAACCCCAAACCCTAATCTGCCCAAAGCTACGAACACTACTCTTCAACCTAATGATTTCTTAACAAACCCCGCAGAGCTGTGCGGCGGTACCGCCACACTTAAGGCTGCAACGCATGCGAAGCGCAACTTTGCTTCTCCTAAGCCTTCAGCTATAAAAGCTGGGCTTCGGCTTGCCTATGCCCATGCTCTACCATTTGCCCAACCATGCTCAGCATGACATGAGCGAAGTCTAATATCGTGCAGCGCTTGAAATGCGGGCCGTATGCCCATAAAACTGACAAAAAAGAGGTACAGGGGAGCGCTGCTCATGTTGAGAGCTTTATGGACAAGGCCGTGTGATCACACCTGCAGGTGTCTCCTGGTCCGATGACCAGGACGACCTGGGTTGGCAGTCTACCGAACGTATATGAGCGTGTCCTCTATGGCCCTTCAACACCAGACTTCAACTCTGGCTTTACGACATTCATCGGCCCTTCATCGACCTGCAATTCGAATGCTCTTATTCTGTTCTCGGGCTGGCAGCTGTATCGCCACTTTCCACAGCCACGGTCGGTAGGTTGAAGACGTTCTCAATGTTGGCATCGGCTTGACCCCTGCAGAGACACTCGGCATGACATTGCCTACAAAACAATAATATACAACAATGTGATTTGCTATCATGTTGTACATGCTATATACAACAATGACATTTGAAGGATTTCGGTAAACCACCGCTGCAGTATTGCAAGTAGACTAGAGCGACTTTCGACCCATGAAATCCACCCTGTGGCCATACGTCGAAACCAAGGTCGAGCCGACCGGGAGCATATGGGCGAATGCCTTGGAATCTGAGATTCCAAATTAATAAAGGAACCTCAGATAGAGTTTCAATGGTGGCAGATCCCGCAACCATGAAAATGCCAGAACAAACTGTAGTGCCAGGCCTGCCCCCCTTGTTTTTGTGGATGGCGGGAGGCCCCCCAAGCATCCGGAGTCCCGGGCTCTTCGAACCGCCTCGTTCCTTTGGATGCCCCCATGCACCTCTTTCTTCCTGTGACTCTGTGTGTTTGTGTGTGCTTCAAATCGTTTTTCTCAGATCAGAAGAGGGGTCCACTCACTCGGCAAACTTGCGTGGGCCGCGGGACCAAAGAACCCTGACTTTGGGGCACTGGGCCGCCTTAAGACGAACCCCAAGACACCCGGTCGCATGGGGCCGTTCTACATAAGAGTCCTGCAGCACGACTAAGGGCTCTTTTTTCCAGTAGGCTGCACCTACGGTCCTCTTGCAGCCTCGGCAAGAAACAGGCCCGCTCGGTCTTTCCGGATACCGGAGTCCTACAAGCAGGGCCAAGGATGCTGCAGCACCTGGGTTCGGGCAGCCTCGCCCCAGTCTGTTGGTGCTGCCAGGCTTGCCCCTGTGTGCTGCCGACTGGTTGGAGCATGCCTGGTCATGCCTGTGCAGCTTTCTTCAAGATCAAGACTTGCGCGCCGTTTCTCTTCATGCGAGCTTGAGAGTGGCTCTCCTCCACTTTCGATGTGCAAAACTGTTCCGTTCCTCACTCAGCAGCACGCCAGCCCCAGCTATATCAAGTCTTAGCACGTGGCCGTGGCCAGCTGCCAGAACCGTCAACGTTAAAGCCGCTAAGCCCGGCTGGCAAAGCGCTTTTGAACTCTTGGCCGGTGTGTGTGTGTGTGTGGGCCGATGCACAGCATGTTGTCGAGTTCATTTCATACAGAGGGTGAAGAATGAGGACCCGCTCTTCAGTCGGACTGACTGCTCCAGCAGCAACTTCCGAATATGTTCGGATGCACTGGGTGCCCTCACACCTGGATAGTGCTCCTACTGAATACCCCTATGATGACTGGTCGTTTATGCATAACAATCCTGTGGACACATGCGAATACTGCTGGGGTCATTGCCTATCACAAGCGCTCAGTCCAAGTGTACAACCGGCCGGGAGCTGCACAGCTGTTCAGGCCAATCGCTTTTTGGCGTCGTGGACGGTTCGGCCGCGGATGTGCCGACAAACGCAGAGGACCCTGAGGACCAGGACCCAGAGGAGCTGCTCGAGGTCAAAAGCTGTTGGTTTTGCACACAAGATTTCTTCGAACAGGCGAATCTTGCGCGTGTCTCTGTTCCATGTCTGTGCTCCAGGTTTTGTGGCATCGTCTTTTGATCAAGATGTGGCATACGATGAGGCGATTGGAATCGGTTTCCTTGGATGAGTTCTTGGATGGGGTCGGGTGGTCTTTCCGGTTTCTCATCATTGCTCTTCATTCATGTCATCCTAACGGTTGCGCCTGGTGCAGCTTCATTGAGCGCTTGTTTTCCTGTGGATGGTTTGTGAGCTGGTTGTGACGCTACTCAGATGCAAGCTGCAGGGGTGAAGCTCACCGAGTTATGAGCCGGAAGGTATGAGTCAGCTCTGCTCGGCCGATTTGCCACACACTGGACCTTGGACACAGGACCCTGGTGCGCCGCACAGCTGACACCGTTTGTGCACCTGAGAGCTTGTGTGCTTGTGTGCGCGACGTGAGCAATGACTCGGAGGGGACAATTTTAAGACTACAGCAAGAACAGAACACCCCCCCCCCCCCCCCCCACCCAGCATGCAGGCCCCCATGAGATGTAACTTGAGCGTAGCGTTACCAAAACATGCATCGGAGAATGGACGCGAACGAGGACGAAAATGAGCAACACAATATCGCCACACAGCCTGTTTCCCCGGAACAGGCATGCCGTCCTTTCAGTGGAGCTACTCGCATGTGTTTAATGGTGTATGTTGCAGGCTCTTACTCGGGCCACAGGCCTGTGATAGATCTCCTTGGAGTTCTTGTACAACCACACGTCGATGCCGCCACATCTGGCCACGCCAACAGGCAGGAAATGGCCAAACAGCTTTGCCTGGCCTGTAGCCTGGCAAGCGCTGGTGGGGTTGGCTAAGGCATTTGGAGCATGAAGATCTCGGCTTTCTTGCGCGACATTTCTGAAGACACTCTAGTGGGTTCGGCGTGCGAGGGTCCAGCCAGCATCTAGACCCTCATACGCCTTTAATGATATTGCTGGCACGGGGTCCCTTGCAATCTCGAACAAGATCCCCCGCTCAGATCGGGAAAATCACTCACACGCACTGACCTGAGGTACACTGATGTTACACTGGGACAGCTTGCGATGCTCACAGCGCCATACAACCCGAGCCAGCTTTCTGCAGAGCCCGGAGCCCACGCCTTGAATTGGCCTTGCAGGTAGGGCTCGGCATCCCCTACACAGCCAGGATGCACGGCAATCGAAGCATCATCGACCTCGCCCACCTCATTTCTGACAGGGGGCTCCCACTGGGCAGCAACTGGAATATGATGGCCGGCAATGCCAGACAGATCGATACCGCCTGTACCTGTTCCATGTGAGCTGTGGAAGATGTGGAAGCCAGGAGCCATGGCACGTTCAGATCTAAGTTTTTTCATGACATGTCGAAAGACATCAAGGCGTGATGACTTATGATGTGTTAGTTCGGCTTCGGGCCCAGCTTACGCTTCTTCTCCCACCAAGCCACCGGGAAGGCTGAATCTGCTTGCAACACACCTGAGAATCGAAAAAGGACGACTCAAACTCTACTCTTCTTGGAGAGGCTTCAAGAGGGCCAATAATCGCAAGAATCTTAGAGGCTTACGAAGTCTTTGTCGAACCTCGGTTTGCATAAGTTCGTACCTGAGACCCAAAACCCATTTCAAGAGAAGGCCTGAGACTACAGCACGCAAAAGAGAGCGCACACGGCTGATTAGATTGCTGACGTAGTGGTTTGGATCGAACCAATCGGCACCACACATGCTTAAAGCATGTATGAATGACTTAACAATGCCTTTTGTATAGGGCTTAGGAAAGTCTAGGGTTTAGTGTTGGGGTGTGTAAGGAGTTGGTTGGGGCACTTGGGCCTTCCAGGCCTGACAACCCGAACGCTTGCCCGCCCCCTCGGCCACACCTAAGGTGAATGCTTTGTGTTATAATTGTTTGGAAAGACACCGACTGAAACCACGCTTATGACGTACACAACATGCAGCACGACCCCACACGAGCCAGAGACAAATTACATCTGGGATACCATTGGACTAGACACAGAAGTCTAGGTGGGTGCGCCCTCGAGATTGTATCTTCAAGGCTGCATGCAATCGGCTACAAAACCGGGAGATCCTAAGAAATTTACTGCACAGCACCAAGGGTCTTGACTTCACGGAAACGGCAGGGAGGTCTGCCACCCCTTGCTCCTTGGACATCATGCAGGGCTTTCTGTGGCTTCGCGATTGTAGTATAGAGTCGACCCCAAAACTCATCTTCCCCAGAGCGCACATGTGCAGAAGGTGACTACTGTAGCCACTTCACTCCAAAGCTGGATGCAGGGTTCTGAGCAGCAGAGCGGTCGCCAAAGCGCCCGAGTCGCCCGAGCCTCAGAAACCTTAAGCGCTGCAACCACAGAGCTGCCGCCGTGGCTCTTTCACGAAAGCGTTGCCAGCCCGAACGGATTTGGCCTTGGAGGTCGGAGCTTGGCCCATTTGCTTCCTTCAGAATTCAGGATCTGGGTTTAACGTCAGGCTTGAGGAAAGATGGAAGCCAAAGCAGCCTCGCACGACCCTTCAACGCTCCTTGCCTCCAGATGTGCATTGTGCGTGCCCCTATGTGCCTTTTTAAACTGCAACGTCATCTGCTTTGCAACACCATTTGGGCAATAGAACGTATTCGGACACATCCTTTTCAGGCAACCTTTCACACCTGATCCACAATACCATAAGGACCGACAAGGAGGACCAA